TGAAACCCTGACAAATTACTTGTAATCAGTAATTCCTTATGCAGAAACTAATGAGCATAATGGTAAAATTTAGTCTTACCATTGAAAAAATTCGGAACAACGGCAGTTTCTTTCATTCAACGGATACTGAGCATTTGTGACATACTGGATAATCTACTGGAGCTGAATAACCAAATATGATCTAATTCTTAAAATTGGTGAGACTTTAATAAATTGGTTCTGCTATAAATTCATGTTTAAGAATTCATCTAATTGGCAATAATTAGGATGCAGAAGCATTAAAAAATCCCCAAGTATCTGTTACCCATCTATGCCGAGTCCAGTGAAAAACAAAAGCTGAAAGCTGAAAAACAAAAGCTAATTTTGTGGAACAATACAATGGTAACTGTTTAATAAAGAAGTTCTGCTCCTTAAAGGAGTTTTTATTATAATTGGTAACAGACATAAAGCAATACTGTAATCATATAAGTGATTAAATACTAAATTTTGTGGAACAAATTAATAAGTACTTGAGAATTGAGATAAAGGAGCCAGCCCATAGAATCCTGGTTGGGAAAATACTGGAGATGGTGGGATTTGAACTGATGGGTATGATTCCTGGGAACAGGGGCAAAGGAGACTATCCCAACCAAGAGGGCGCCCTAATGAAGCCAGGAAAGAGGGGCTGTCTGCTTGCACCAAACTCAGGACGTGCAGTGTAGAGGGCAAGTGAAGGGTGGAGTGGCAAGACAGTGTGGAGTGATTGAGCACAGGCCCTTGACCCCTCAGTTCCTTCCCAGGCTCCTGGGCTATAAAATGTGGATAGTGTTAGTGCCGACTTTGAGGGGTGATGGAAATTAAATGAGATGATGAGTGTGAAGTTCCTGGTACATATAGAAAGTGTTTGATAGATGGAACTTGGTGTTGCTGTTAGGGAGGATGGATGGGGCCAAACCATGGAGGGCAGGATGGCTGTGTACATCGTCATGCTCTGATATGATGGAAATTAGGAAGCCACTGAAGCTTTTGACCACAGGCAGGATGTGACAGGAATGAATTAATAATGGTAGATACCATTTGAGTGCTTCTGTGTGCTCTATGCTTTATATCATTATCTGTGGGCCTCACCCTGCAGGGGAGCTAGTGGGGGGCTTTGTTCTCTGAGGCTGAGAGAGAGGAAACAAGCACCTTGCCTGAGGCCATCTAGCTACCAAGGGGAAGACTAGGTTTGAACCTAGGCCTGACTGGCTCCAAAGTCTGGGCTCTTTCTCCTACCAGACTGCCTCTACCTGGGAAGACATCTGTCAGGGACTGATGACCCCATGGGAAAGAGGAGTGGCTGGCTCAGGTAGTTATTACTGCTACTAAAAAGATGTGTGAGTTCAGAGTACATGTTGCTTCCCCCCCTAAAAAAAAGGACGAGGAAGAGGAAATAGGACAACAACACATCAGTGGAAAAAGAGACAGAACCTGGTGATTGGCTGTAGAGGAAAGAGGACAAGATGAGTGGGAGATGACGATGCTGTTGGAAATGAAGGCAGGCACTGGTAGGCCTGACTTTTCCTCCGTGTGGGAGTGGGCTCCAAAAAGCTCAGGCACCAATGTGGAGTCCATGGGTTTCTCAAAAGTATAATTTCTTATGGCACACATCTGGCAGTCACTTCAGGCTTCACAGTAGTTCTTGATTGGTGTAGGTGACATGTTGCCTGGCTGGACTTCTGCTGTTTTAGTCAGATCAGTGCTGTTGAAGGTTAGGGAGGCGGGAGTGGCCTTAGGTAAGTGAGATTCCAGTGTTCCTTGGCCTGGGTCTACTTTTGTGCCCTAGGACAATGCCTCTCCCACCAGTGCTAAAGGATCAATTTTTAAAATTTCCAGTTTATCTGGACTAATACTTTTGTAAAATAAAAAAAGAATTACTAGAAAAAGAAACTGAAAAAGACATACAGAATGCAAACTCTTATTTTTTATTAGATTCGACAGATCTAAAATTGCTTTGTCAACTTGCTGTGAAAGTTTCTAAACACTTATTCTCAATTTCTGTACTTAATTTTGACTGCAGACTAGAAAACTGTTCATGGGCTGGTACACTTTGAGAGCAGTGATCGAGGAAGAAATTTTGTTAAGCAAATTAGTAAACAGGATGTTTTTGGAATATTTACATGATTAAGAGTAAAAATAGTCTTTCAGTTGGCGTTTAAAATACTTTAGATGTTTGTTCATGTATGATCTAATTGCAGATGATGTCTTTTCAGTAAAGTTCCATGTTGGGGGCTAGGGAGGTAAAATAAATATACCAAGAATTGAGGCTAATGCAGTTATTGTTAGGGATCCATAAGTTTAAACTAGTAGCAATACTTGGAAAAATAGGTGCTTTTACTTCCTCTGTTGTTTCTGAGAACCATTGTATATTGTTTTTCTCATTTAATTTGTGTTAGTATGATTTCTCTGTTAATTTTGGCTTGCCTTGGAGTTGATTTTTATATTTTGGTGCACAATTTTAAGTATTCTATTTTAGGGGGAAGTTCCCTAAGCAAACATTTAAAAAAGTCTCGAGTTAATATGCTGATATAGACATCATGTAATAATTTGTTTATATTTCAAATTTGATTTTTGTCTCTAGCTGCCAGTGTATCTTATTTTATATTTTGAGCTGTTTTTTACTTTTGCTGATATCTTCCTTGCCCTGGTTTGCTATGTTGTTCCCTTAGCCTAGAGTTCTCTTTCCCTACCTTGAGAGCCCAGCCCAGGAGCTGCCTCCCTCAGGCAGCATGTCCTCCTGTGTCAGCACTCCCTGCTCCTTTCTCTGCCTTCTGCAGCTCTCTCTCCCACCTCTGCTGAGCTCACCTTCAGCCTGCCTCATTGAACAGCACTTACTCCTCTCCCCGCTGGCCCCTTTTCTCCCTCCTCCCAAGTCAGGAATTCCTTTTGTTTTGTATCATACTTCATATTACATTTTTCAAGGCTATTTCATGTATATATTTTCTTATTTCATCCTCCAGACAATCCTGTGAAGTTGGTAGAATGGAGATTCTCATCTCCCTTTTAACTGAGCTAAGGCTGGGAGAGTGTCCGCACGGCAGGCACCTTCATTCCTTTGCCCTGGGGCTCCCAGAATTAGTTGTACCACTCAGGTCCAGACTTCCAATGCTCAGGGTTTGAGTTTGCTCAAAGTCGCCTGTAATTTTGAGGTCCTCTTTTCTACTCAGTATTTATATTTGTTATTTAAAAATCAAACATTAGAATACTTGGTATACTGTCACAGGCCTCTTTGGAAGAAAGAAATCTTCAGAACCTAGTGCAAGGAGTGGTCAGTAGAACTAGAGCTGTGGGCCCCAGGGTGGCGCACAAGGCCGAAGTGGATTTTTTTTTTTCTGTTCTTCTTCTTCTTCTTCTTCTTTTTTTTTTTTTTTTTTGCTGAGGAAGATTGGCCCTGGGCTAACATCCATGCCCATCTTCCTCTACTTTCTGTGTGGGACACCTGCCACAGCATGGCTTGATGAGCAGCGCGTTAGGTCCGTTAGGTCCATGCCTGGGATCCAAACCCTCCAACCCCAGGGCGCCGAAGCGGAGCACGCGAACCCAACCACCATGCCACCGGACCAGCCGCCCAAAGTGGATTTATTTATTTATTTATTTATATTTTTGAGGAAGATTGGCCCTGCGCTAACATCTGTTGCCAATCTTCCTCTTTTTTTTCTTTTTACCTACCCAAAGCCCCAGTACATAGTTGTGTATCGTAGTTGTAGAGTTGTAGCTCTTCTATGTGGGACACTGTCTCAGCATGGCTTGATGAATGGTGAGTAGCCCCAGGATCTGAACCAGTGAACCTCGGTCCCCCAAAGCGGAATGTGCAAACTTAACCACTGCGCCACCACTGGGCTGGCCCCCGAAGTAGACGTTTTAAAGGATGTATTCAGCAACGTTAGTTGTGTCCATCTGTGATTTTCAAACACTTGTGGGTGTGCGTGGGTTTCCTTTATTTCAACAATAACAGCCCGGCATATTGAATTGCGCAGAACATTTCTCATGAAGAAAAGAATCCTGCCTTAAGAGGGGGAAGGCACTTTGAAAAATCACTTTTAGCCCAAGTCAGAAGTCATTTGCTTTTTGACTTTGAGGTGTGTGGGTGTGTGTTTTCTCTCCGTCCCCTTTATGGTCAGACAGACTTGGGTTCCAAATCCAGCCCTGCCACTTACTAGGTAGGTATGGTGACCTTGGCTGAGTTATTTAACTTCCCTAAACTTATTTTCTCATCTGTAAAATGAGAGAAATATTACCTACTTTGATGGATCATTATAAGGACAAAAGATGATGCATGTACCGCACTTTGAGTGTGAGCTCGATAAGTGAAAGTTACCTGAAAGCTAATGCAGAAGAGGGACTGTGACTCAGTAAGGGAGTGCCTGCTTATAAATTGGCTGTAGCAGTGGTTCTCAGATCTGAGTGGGCATCATGATCAGCTGGAAGACTTTTTAAACTACAACTTGCTAGGCCTACCCCTGTAGTTTCCTGTTTTTGATCTGGGGTGGGGCTTGAGAATTTGCATTTCTGAGTTTCCAGGTGATGCTGCTGCTGCCACTGCTGGTCTGGGGACCACACTTTGAGAACCACTGGGCTACAGGTAACTCACCAATGAGCATTTAGGTGCTGTAAATATATTTGAAAGCTGAGCTTTTACATGGTTAGTTGCTCTGTTCGAAAACGCTTGGGATGCATTTTGCAAATACTGAATTTAGTATCTCAGGGTGTTTCCTCCTGAAGTCCAGGAGTCTTTGTTAAATATATTTGAAGAAGAATAATTTGCAAAAGTAACAGTTATAAACATATTATGGATAGTCTAACAGTATCAAATTGGCTAAGATATGTTAAAGTGCTTTTATAAAATGCTAAAAACTTGAAAAAATATTTTAAATACCTTTGTTTTTAAGATTGAACATCATAATGGAGTATAAAATAGTGTAACTTAGATTTCTCATCTCAATGTGCTGTTTACCGTATGTATTTTTCTCTTTCTCCTCCAGGCTGCTGACTTGAGTAAACCAATAGATAAAAGGATATACAAAGGAACACAGCCTACTTGTCATGACTTCAACCACCTAACAGCCACAGCAGAAAGTGTCTCTCTCCTAGTGGGCTTTTCCGCAGGCCAAGTCCAGCTTATAGACCCAATCAAAAAAGAAACTAGCAAACTATTTAATGAGGAAGTAAGTAGCACCCTGTCTTAGCTGTTAAGAATCCCTTTAAGAATTTATACGTTCTTACCGAGGGTAGTGGGCCTTATTTTACACTTCGAGCTAAGCCCATTTTTCATTCTCTCAGCTGTCCTACCCAGTAATACCCAAGTTTAAATGTGGTGAATTAACTTGTTGACTTTTACCTTTTCTTCCTTGGGGTAGCTGTTTTGTGCATTTTTTTATGGATCATGCTCAGGTGTCTCTAGCAGACACTTTAAAATTATAATGGAGATAGGGACAAGACTATAACTTGATATTTATAATTTAAATAAGAAAATATAGAATTCCAGACTTTGTTCACATCACCAGAAAATTTCATGTAAATCAAAGAACTTGCTAATATTTCCTTAGGTTCTTAAATTGTAGTTAAAGCTTTTGTGTGTGTGTTTGACAGGCGTTTGGCTAAGGAGTAATTCTCTTGCTCTTGAAAATATTTGCTGTAAAATCACCTTTGACATAGGTGGCACTTAAAATTGGATCACGTGACATAGCTTTTGCCAATGTTGTAGTATATACTGGGATTTTCTAGTATCTTCAGTTTCATTCTGGAAGGAGCCTGAGATATCTGAGCTATCTGTTCAAGAACATGTCAGAACTGCTAAATGTGACAGATAGCAGTGGCCAAATAGATTATATTTGTTAAAGCTCTTGGAGTAGCTTTTCAGCCCCAACTATTGCCATTACATATCTGATATTATCCCTCCTCTGTTTCAGTATGACTTTCCAGCAAGTGGAAGAGATGAGGTAGGCTTGCTGAGTTAGAAGCCCTGGGTTCCAGTCTCTACTTATGCCCTCAACCCTGACGTGCCAGGGGTCTGGTCACATGGGATCCCTCTCAGGAATGATGAGTGGTTTTGCATTGTTGCCTGGTTTCACTGTCATTAACTTGGAACAGAAGCTCATTATAGTTTCTGGTTTTTAAGAAATAATTTTGTTTGGGGAAGAGTATTCAACTTGACAAATTGCAGTTAAAGTTCTGATTCTTTTGCAGTTGTTATGGTATATACTGTCCATGCATATCCAGTACCCACCCACGGTGCTCCTGTTTGACATTGCCAGTGGATTTGGTGAAATCTTTTGAACCATGCCATCGCCTCTTCTAGTTTCATCTGGGTTGACTGGAAAAAAAACTTGTCACCTGGATTGACAAATTGTAGAGGAAAAGTATTTAATCCTATTTTCTGTTAGATTATTCTATTTACCTAGATATTTTATTACTATCATCTGAGGAAGTGATTTCTAAGTAGCTGGATGATTTTTTTTTTTTTTTTTTTGGTGAGGGAGTGTGGGGCCACAAAACCAGCCTCTCTTTGCTGTTACTAGAAATTGTGAATTTGGAGTCATTGTGGGGTTTTGTTTGAGTTTAGGTAGGGGCCGTGTCATTGAGGGGGAAGAGATTGTAACCGTGTAAAAGGCTGTTGGTAAACAGGATGGGGAGGCTGCTGTGGCTGAGGATGGCACAGAATGCCACTTAGAGAACAAGAAGGCTTTGTGTGTGGTTGCTGGAGGAGGGCGGGAGTCAGAGACCACAGGTCCCTAGAGTCTCAGGGCCCTGAGAATACCTCTGATACATCAGCCAGACCCATGCCTTACTCTGGACAACTGGGAGTTGCAGGCTAGAAAGCAGGTCCTCACTCTTAATGATTTAAGCATGAGTTATGTTATACTGTGTTTACATTCTATTTGAAAAATGGCTGTTCAGAATGCTAGGACTGTGTATGGTTTAATGCCAACTTGGCATTTGTAGCTTGAGGCTGAAATTGATTGCCCTTCACAGTAAGGAAATTCTTTGGCTGTATGGATTGCATTTTCATCAGAGTTTGGTCAGGATGTCTAAGCACAAGGCTCGTCAGAGGTTTGTTTCTCAAAGAGCACCAGGAATGGTAGTTGCAACACTTGTCATGCCATGCTTTGCACTGGTATGAGATTTAGCAGTTTCAGGGTGTTTTATTTTATTTTTTTTTATTTCTTTATTTTTTTTAAAGATTTTATTTATTTATTTTTTCCCCCCAAAGCCCCAGTACATAGCTGTATGTCATAGCTGCACATCCTTCTAGTTGCTGTATGTGGGACGCGGCCCCAGCATGGCCGGAGAAGCGGTGCGTCAGTGCGCGCCCGGGATCCGAACCCGGGCCGCCAGCAGCGGAGTGCGTGCACTTAACCGCTAAGCCATGGGGCCGGCCCAAGGGTGTTTTATATATTTCCTCTGCATGGGATGGTGGGCAGCTGTCCCATTTTACAGATGAGGAAACAGTCAAAGAGAAGGTAAGTGAATTGTCCAGATTAGGCAGCAAATTGATAATAGAGTTGGAGTTAGAAATTAATTCCACAAGCTCTTATTGGTCATAGACTGTAAGCCCCACCATGTGTGGTTTCCAGATGGGTGGGCCCTTGCCTTCCCAGGAGCTCATAGTTTAGTAAGATGGACAGAGAGGGTACTGGGGCATGTGTTATCATAGTGTTTTGTACAGAGTACCAAGGGATATGTGTTAACTGTATTCTTCAGTATGTATCAAATATCATTAAAAAAAAAAAGTTCAGTTCAGTGGAGGGAGTCCAAGAAGGCTTCCAGAAGGTAGCATTTGCTCTGGGTCTTGAAAGATGTGTAGGAGTTGGAGGAGGGTGAGAAAGGCCTTCAAAGCTGGAGGAAACAACTCGGTGTGTAGAAGAACATCAAGTCACCAGGTGTGGCCAAATCACAACATGTGGGCCTTGGAGTGGCGGGAGTCAAAGCCAGACAGATAAATTGGAATCAGATTGTAAAAGCCCTTTCATGACACGCAAGAAATTTAGATCTGACACTGGAGGCTGTGGGGGAACCTTTGCACTCTTAATCAAGGGAGTGACAGGATCAAATGTGTTTTTTTAGAACTCTTGTCAGCACTTGTGGAAGGTGGATTTGGAATGAAGAAAGAGAGAGTGAAGGTAGCAAGAGCAGTGAGGAGGCTCTAGTAACTGTCCAGGTGAGAGCTGAGGGCTTGAAGTAGAGTTGTGGCCAATTTTTCATTCATTTGACAGACCTTGATTACCTACCATGTGCCCAGCACTGGGTCTCCGGTGGCAGATAACACTTGCCCTGCTGTTACTCCTCTCAGAGAGGGGAGAGAGGTGTCAACAATAGCGCACACACACTTACGGCAAATGGTGACTTGTGATGTAAGAGGAGACAGGGAGCCGCAGAGAGAGAGACATGGAGGCCTGCTTTAAACGAGGAGGCAGAGAATGTCTCTCAGAGGAAGTGGTGTGCTTAAGCTGAGCTTCCCGTGAGCAGGAGGCCAACCAGGTAAGGAACTGGAGATAGAGCGTTCATGCAGAAGGGAGAGTGGGCGAAGGCCCTGGAGTAGGAAAGAACTTGGGACTAAGAGAACTGAGAGAGGACGGTGTACCTGGGGAGGGTGGTGTGAAGTGAGGGCATGAGGTTGGAGGGCAGTGCCACTCAGGGTCCTGCTCTGGTTTGCTTCTTCGTCTGAGATGTGGGATCCCATAGAAGGGAGTAAGAGCATGAGGTGGTCGGATTGGTGTTTTTGAAAATTACCCTGGCTGCTTCTTTGAGCCTGAATTGCAGAGAGGTATGAACAAATCTTAGGTTTCTGGCTATTGCTTACTTCACTGGGTAAGACTGGGAAGGAGCAGGTGTTGGGTAATGGAGGGAAAGATCAGAGTTCTGTTCTGTACTTGTTAACTTTGAGGGGCCGGGTCTGTGGTTGGATACATGGATCTGGAGCTCAAAACTAGAGGTAAAAATTTGGGAGTTGTCAGCATGTAACGAGTAATCACATCCCTGAGATTAGATGGCAGGTCTGTGGAGAAAGTATATTAAGAACAAAGAAGAGTGCCTAGGACTAAGCCCTGATTGTACTCTGAGATTCTGGCCATCTTGTCACGTCGCCTCCAAAGGAGCTCTTACAGCAGTCAGTTTATTGCTGTGAAGTTTACAGACTCACAGCCCAGTGGCTAAGAACACAGACCCTTGAGCCCAAATGCCGAGGGTTCAGACACCAGCTCTGCCACTTTCTGCTGGTGGGATGTGGGGCTGTGACTTCTCCTCTCCTCATCAGCTGGAAAATGAGTAAGCACAGGACCCACCTGAAAGTCTGCTGAGGATGTGATGTTTAGCAAAGCGCTGGAGAGCGAGCCCTGGTGAATGCTCAGTCAAGTTCCAGGCAGAGGGGAAACCCAGAGGGTTCTTTCACTGGGACTTAGAAGGAAAGGCTGTTTGGGAGGTGAGATACAGCAGTTTTGAAGGAGAAACACCAATAATTGTCCAGGACAGGAGAGTAAGAGCAGGGCAACTCAGGCAGGGGATCAACATGTGAGGCTGAGGGTGGAGCTGCTTATTACAGCTGTGATGCTCACCTGCCATCCTGTGATGTTCACCCTCCACCGGTCCCACGCATGCGACCGTGACCACACCCTAGTATCGATTACTCGGGCCTTTGCCTCCTTTCTAAAGGTGCCTGGTACACGAAAATAGAGTAAAATGTTTGGATGGATGGGTGTATAGATGGAATGGAATTATAAATTCCAGAAGCCCACCTGAGATTAAAGACAGAGGAAAATTTCTATCTGGGAATCAAGTATATCTTAAAAGGTGATTTTTTCCCCCATTAATTTAAAAAGTAAAGAAATTTAAAATGCTTGTTTATAGAAAAATTGGGACATACAGAAGTACAAAGAAGACGGCAAAACATTACCCATAAATCCCAGTGCTCACTGTTAACTTTACTGTCTTTGTAATTTTTAATTTTTTCAATGAAGCACAACTGTAAGATTCACAGTTTCCATTAGAGGTGCCAGCAACCTTCACCTCCCAGGGTGGCCCCCAATCCGTTCAGTTCAGTTAGCAGAGGCACGCCCTGCTCCCCAGGCCATCCCAGTCTCATTGGAGTACCCGTTCCAGCCAACGAGGAAGGAAAGTACCTGGTCTTTTCTAGCCCCCCTTGGGGAGTGATATCCTCAGATCCCCCGAG